AGAAACATCAACTGGTTGCCTACTATACATTCCCTGAACAGTAATCAAACTGCAATCTTTGGAGTATGAGACGATGCTCTAACCAACTGAGACTCCTGTCCAGGGCAACGGTATATTATTAATAGCATCTACCATTGCTAGGCTCTAACTATGCACCAGTTAAATTACATACATCATTTTTATCTGTTAGACCTGTGGTCGGCAAACTGCTGCTCATAAGCCACAAGTAGCTCTTTGGCCTCTTGAGTGTGGGTCTTCCACAAAATACCACAGCCTGGGCGAGTCAATTTTGAAGAAGTTTAAGTTTAAAAAATTTGGCTCTCAAAAGAAATTTCAATCATTGTACTGTTGATATTTGGCTCTACTGACTAATGAGTTTGCCGACCACTGTGTTAGACAAATAGAAAACAGTTGAGATTTTTATGATTTTAAATAGAGAGACTTTATTCAACCCTTTAAACAGAAACATCTTTGCATTTTTATCCCATTTACCTCGTTGGAGAAGTGTAACCTGTACCGTGAGTTTTTCTGATATTATTGGATTGGCATTGCTTTTTTATCCCTTATTTTCCCTTTTTAAGTAAATGCAAAAGAAACTTGATGTAAAAGTCTCATCTTAATTATCAAAGGCCTTATTACAGAAACTGAGAATCTATTAAACACCCACTTCAACAGGAGATATATATATGTATATGAGGCTGTTCATGCATTCTGACATTTAAAGCCTAGTTAACAAAAGTCAGTTCTCTTTTTTCCTCCACAAAAAGGGTTACCAACACAATTTGAACTGGCCATCCTATTGTTCAACAAATAGTTTATGAAGAGAGGGTTTGTTTGAACTTTTCCAAAATATGGCTTGGATAATGTTTATATGCACATATAGACAGATGAATACCCTCAGACAAAGCATTTGCCAAGTACAAAGATACAACTGTAAAAAAAGTGAGAAAGTTGAGTTTGAATCTTTAATAAGTAAGCAGAACACAAGGTTCCTAATTTTATATTTCAAATAAATGACAGTAAAAAAATCAACAAGTAATTTACCTAAATTTAATCTGAGAAATCTACCTCTGAGAAAAATCACACAATAAAAGCCATACAAATAAGTTATACAAAAGGAAACAAAATAACTGCCACCCCATTTATCCTGTATTAAAAATAGTAGTTTAACATATTAAATTTTTTCTAGATTTAGAAGTCTGACACCTCACTAACACAAAGTTCCAAATACCTAATGATCATAGAAAAGTTAACATATAACTTAAAAGTTTGTTGTAATAAAAATAGTGTATGGCAGTAGAAAAGTTACTAAGCAAAAAATCTTTTCATAATTATTTGGGATATTCATTTAGAACAATTTAGAACAACTTCAGGCAATCTTGTGGGAAAATTACCTTCTTGACATTAACACACACTAATTGAATTAGCTCTAAAGTAGTCTTAAGAAATTCTTAAGTAGTCCTAAAATTTATATAAAAGACAATATTTTTTTTTTTTTAAAGAGTAATGCATCACATGGTAGAATTATTTATAAAAGAAAAGGCCAAGGAGCTCTGAGATCATCTCTAGTTGGAACCATCTAAAGTGAGGTCTAATGTTTGCTGGCCTGTCTCTAGTTTGAAGAAATTATTTTTTTACTAGAGGCCCGGTGCACGAATTCGTGCACCAGTGGGGTCCCAAACTGCGAAAGGGCACAGGCCAGGCTGAGGGACCCCACCTATGCACAATCAGGGTCGGGGAAGAATTTGGGAGGTTGACCTGCTGGGGAGGGACCGAGGTAGGGCTCTAGGATGTGTCTGGCCCAACTTGCTCAGTTCTGTTAGGTCAGACCCCAGCAGCAAGCTAACCTATCAGTTGGAGTGACTGTTCCCTGGTGTTCAGTGCATATCATAGTGAGTGGCTCAGCAGACTTAGCATATCACGCTTTGATTGGTTGAACAGATGACCGGACGACCAGACACTTATCATATTAGGCTTTTATTATATAGTATGTAAATACTTTCCTTAAGAAACAGTAGGAAATCGTAAGATTTCTTTATGGTATAAAAGAAGCTATGACAACCATTCATTTAAAAATGAGTTTTTTCTAAATAAACTACTAAGGGGACAGACAGAAAATTAAGACTTGGAAATGGATGAAATGTACGGTTCTTCAGAAAAACATTTCCATTATCCTAAGTTACTTTAAATATTTCTCTGCTGAAGCAAGACAATAGATATAAGTTATATTCATGGTAGCTGACTTTCAGGAATGACCGGAAAGAAATTTTTGGTTTATTCAAAATTCTTAATAGGAAACCTACATTATAATTGGTACACACATCTAAATTTGAGTAAAAATAATAGTTCTAATTTAAAATTAAACTTTTAGGCAGTATCTTAGAGGTACCAATGAAAGATGAAATACCTAAGTAATACTAGAAAAAAAGACATTTTATAATAGGTAACACCAGAGTAAGATGAAAGATAACCAGTTGATTTTATTTTACATTAGATAAAATTTTTTTCCTAGTTTTATCTACTTCTATTTCTAATATCCATTACTTAAATCTCTTCTGTATTAAGTTATTTAGACTCTAAGTCCCTTTCCAGACACCACTAGGCATAGAGGCATCCTTGGACCTCAAAAAGCTCCGGAGTAAATAGTCTCACATGTACACTCTTAATAAACATCTGAGTAAACTATGCATATTGTATTCAATGGTTGAACATAAAATGAATTCTCATATTCTCTGTTTCTCTTTCCATCTTTACAGAAACCATGCCCATTTTTGTTTACTATAATACTAGAAGCCCAGTGTATGAAATCACACGACCTCGCCACCCACCTGCTGCCCTGCCTTGACACTGCCTCTCCATGCTCCAGTGCGCCTGGCCCAGCCCCTTACCCCTCTGTCATTCCCTGACCATTTCAAGCCCTGTCCTCAGTCCCTCGAGTCTCCTCAGTCAGGTCCTGCCTTCTCTAGGCATCTCCCCGCTTCTGCACCATCTCCGGAGCAATGTGGCGCCTCTGCCTGTCATGGCACTGGAGGGGAGCGTGAAGCCTCTCACCTGCTGCGCTGTGCTCCTTCCCCTGGTAGGTGGGCGGTGGGGTGCTCTGAGTACAGTGGGTGGCAAAGGACTGGTGGTGGTGGGGTGCTATGGTCTCTCACACCTGCCCTCCCCAGTATGGGATGGTTCCACCGCCTCTGGACACCTCCCTGCTTCCGCCTGTCTCCAGAGCAATGCCCCGCCGTGCACAAGCAGGCAGCCTCCGGCAATCGTTCGTTAAGGCGTCCTGACCATTAGCATATTAGCTCTTTATTATAATGATTTCCTTGGCATAGAATAGGTTTTCAGTAAGTGTTTGGAGAATGCATGAAATTTCCTATAGTACCAACAACTGGGCTATACTCTAGTGATAGTGATCATTAAAATGTTTTTATACTTATAGACAAGAGCAACACAACAGACCTGGGAGGAAATGCAATAATCCAAATCAATCACTTGTTTGATAAGCATAACCTGGAAGCGTGAACATCAGGTATAGAAAAGAGACTAAAAGGAAATATTTTAGTACTTCAATCAGAAATGCACTAAGATTGATGCTGCCATCACTCAGTGTACTAACTACAGGTATGGCAATTTTTTTGTGCTATTACTAAGTGCTATAACTAAGAATGACTAGAAAAAAAATAGTATTTCTCCCAATTTGTTAGATAATTACAACTTGACTATACTTACCCAATAGGCCTGCTTTTTTATAGGTATATGAGTTGCTATCATTTTGACACATAATAGGTAATAAAAGTTTCTGACTGAATTAATAAAATAACTTTAAAAAGACCCTTTTTAATTATATAAAATGAAGGTATAAATTTTAGCATGTAGCCCCCTAGTCTTTAGGATACAGAAAGAATTATAGAATATTTCTGCCAGAAGTAGAATTCTATATTCATAGAGTTAAACTAAAACAGAAGTGTTAAAAGATATTTTAAGATAACTTTTTGTGGTAAACTAAGGGACTACCTTTAGTAAGGGTCCAATTCCCGTCCCTTGAATCTTGACTGGCTTTATTGATAAGTGTCATCAAAATACAACAGAGGAAGTGACATTCTGGGATTTCTGAGTCTAGTCAAAAGAGACCTTACAGCTTTGCTTGGATCTTTGGACATTCTTTCTGGGACCCCCAAGTCACCATAATAAGTCTAACTCCTTGGGGCCTACATGCTGGAGGGACCATTGGTAGATGCTCCCATTTTCATCTAGCCTACATTCCAGCCATTCGTCTAAAATAGTTTTAGAACTTTCAGTTAAATATTAGGGAGGGCCTTCTTTTGACTCCCTGTGAAATGGAAACTGCACCCAGCTGAGCCCTGTTCCATTTTCCAACTCACAAATCATGTTTAAAAAATAAAACACAATAGAGTTTTAGTAAATTCTGTTTGATAATTGCTGGCCCTTTGCTGGAGCATCTAGAAGTAAATACTTTAAGTACTATTTGAAACAATTTTACCTATTTTGAATCTTGGCCAATTCTTTAATTTCCTTCTATGTCTGGAATTAAAAGCCTTCAGAGTGGTTAGTTCTAGTCATCATATATGTGTAACATCAAAAGCCTTAAGTGGCTTTTTTGTCTTCTCCAATCTTTTTTCTCAATCATGGTTGATAGCTTCCCCTGAAAGCTGTTTGTGCCAAAAGAACTTGTGTAGTTTCCATCTCTCTATTCTTCTAATCTCTAAGAGCTGTTTGGTTAAATTCTGAACTCAAACAATACTGATTAGGGGCAGAGTGGAATAAAAACGTAGAAAGCTAAAAGAAAATATTGCTACACAGAAATGAAAATTATTACATGAAACAAAATAAAAGAATTTTACCCCAGAAGCTAATCTAAATGGCTCAAAAACTGGCTGGTAAGCATATCTCAACAGGCCAACTTATCTTGAAAGTGAGTTTTCTATGAAGAAGGTAATTATATATAGAATATTCAGCATGTATCCAGAGAGAAAAATCCTGTTTACCTGAAAATCAATATTGTTGTCAATACAATGTTCATTCTTCTCTGCTAAAATCTTCCCATAGTTCTCTGATTTGGTAAGAGTTTCAACTGTGGTTGTATCTTTCACTTCTGCCTCCAAATCCTTCATTGTTTCAGTTTCATTTTTTACAGTAACAATATCAGACATCCTCATCAGCAAAGGTTATTTTAGAATTCTACAGGGAACCTGAAGCCTTAGGAAAAAAGAAAAGAAAAAAAATTAATTTAACATTTCTTACATTGAGTTATTACATAATAATGACTAAGTACTTTCTGTGTCCCAGAAATAATGCTGAGTATACCCAGAGAAAAGCAAAACTGCTTTCAAGGAATATATTAGTGCCAGACCAGCTCAAATTAAAGAAAAAAAAAAAAAAATCAATACAATGAGATAAGAACTTTAATAAAGGCATGAGGTGGTTTTCATGCACAGACCACCTGTGAAAGTTCTTAAGAAACATTAAGCCATATTGAGATGGGAAGCAATGGTTCGGGTATGATAAATGTATATTTAGATAACATTAGAAAATTTTTTCTATAAATGAATAATATAAATATCATCCTGTCAGAAAATATTTTCCTATTATAGGTTTTGTCTAGATTTCTCAAAATCTAAATTTCTTAAATTACCCTGCAATTATGAAATATTAAATAAATAAACAGCAACATTTTATACAAAATACAGTTGTACATCTGGATTGATAACTGTTTGGCTTTATGAATCAATAATTTAAAACTCTTTTTAAAAAAAATATATTTCATTTATTTTTTACAGAGGAGAAGGGAGAGAGATAGAGAGCTAGAAACGTCGATGAGAGAAAAACATCGACCAGCTGCCTCTTGGACACCCCCAACCGGGGATGTGCCGGCAACCAAGGTACATGCCCTTGACCGGAATTGAACGTGGGACCTTTCAGTCCACAGACCGACGCTCTATCACTGAGCCAAACCGGCTTTGGCAAGAATTTAAAACTCTCTTGATTCGCCTTAACTGGTTTGGCTCAGTGAATAGAGTGTCGGCCTGTGGACTGAAAGACTCCAGATTCGATTCCGGGCAAGGGCATGTACCTTGGTTGCAGGCACAACCCTAGTAGGGAGTGTGCAGGAGGCGGCTCTCTCATTGATGTTTCTAACTCTCTATCCATCTCTCTTCTTCTCTGTAAAAAAGAAAAAAAAATCAATAAAATATATTAATTTTTTAAATTTTTATTTATTTAAATATATTTTTTAATGATTTTACACAGAGAGGAATTGAGAGGGATAGAGGGTTAGAAACCTTGATGAGAGAGAAACATCGACCAGCTGCCTCTTGCTCACCCCTGACTGGGGATGTGCCCACAACCAATGTACGTGCCCTTGACCGGAATCGAACCCGGGACCTTTCAGTCCCCAGGCCAACGCTCTATCCACTGAGCCAAACCGGTTTCGGCAATAAAATATATTTAACCCGCCGCCCCCCCCCCCCACAAAAACAACCCACTCTCCTGATTTATGTGATTCAATGCCAAACAATACATATTACCAGAGGGTCTAATAAATGGACTCTGTAGGAGAGCAAGCAGATAAGATGGCAATATATTTCATGTTTTTAGCGAGTTTAAAAAAACACTGAAGACTTTATACTGAATATCAAATAAAAATGTATCAGAGATATCTATCATTTTAGAAAATGAAAACTTGAAGAAGAGAAGTTGATGTAAACAACTTTTCTTCACAAGAAACTAGAAACACCAATCAGAAAGGATATATGCACCCCTATGTTCATAGCAGCACAATCTACAATAGCTAGGATTTGGAAACAGCCTAGGTGCCCGTCAGCAGATGACTGGATCAAAAACTATGGTATATCTACACAATGGAATACTATGCTGCCATAAAAAAGAAGGAATTCTCATCATTTGCAGCAACCTGGATGGAATTGGAGAACATCATGCTGAGTGAAATAAGCCAGTCAATGAAAGAGAAACACCATATGACCTCACTCATTTATGGATAATAAAGAACATTATAAATTGATGAACCAAAAGATAGACATAGACAGTAAAGCAACAAGCAGACTGTCAAACTACAGAGGGGAGGGGAGGGAGATCTGGGGGAGATAATAGATCAACCGAAGGACTAGTATACATGCATATAAGTACAACTAATGGACATAAAACTCTGGGGAGGATGGGTATGTACGGTGGGGGGGGGGGGGGAGAGGGGAGGAGCGGCGCAATGGTAAAATATGTACACAGATAATAATTTAATAAAAAAAATAAAATAAAATAAAAAGAAAAAACAAAAATCACACAACTTTTTCTTTCTAGTTTTATGATCATGTTTAAGTTTAAAGTATATAACATGATAATATAACACAAGTATATATTGCTAAATGATTAACATAATCCATCACCTCACATAATTACCATTTTTTTTTGCAGTGAGAACAAGAACAACTTATTTTGATAATAAGACATACTGATGGCTAGACAGAGGAATTAAGATATACTGATTAAGATATAGATAAAATAATAAGATATACTGATGGCTAGACAGAGGAATGGATATATGTAAACAAGTGCAGGTTAAAGTAAGTACGATAAAATGTTAATATAGCCAAAACTGGTTTGGCTCAATGGATAGAGCGTCGGTTTGGGAACTGAAAGGTCCCGGGTTCGATTCTGGTCAGGGCATGTACCTTGGTTGCGGGCATATCCCCAGCGGGGGTGTGCAAGAGGCAGCTGGTCAATGACTCTCTCTCATCGATGTTTCTAACTCTCTATCTCTTTCCCTTCCTCTCTGTACAAATCAATAAAATATATTTAAAAAAATGTTAATGTAGAATTAGGAGTGGTTATATGTTTAATCACTGTAAAACTTTCAACTTTCCTGTATTTACAAAAATTTCATGATAAAATCTAGGGGATAAATATATATGAAAAATTTTAAAAAAGAGAAATAAATTCTAAAGTCACAGGTAGACTCAAATGAATAAAGAACATATCTACCTTGATTATACTCATTACCAAGGTCAACTGTTTCATTTTAAAATCAATAAGCTAAGGATGAAAGGTTTACTTAAAATACCCTTGGTACCTTGCTTTTTAAAGATTTAAAAAATATATATATATATTTATTGATTTTTTACAAAGAGGAAGGGAGAGAAATAGAGAGTTAGAAACGTCTATGAGAGAAAAACATCGACCAGCTGCCTCTTGCACACCCCCTAATGGAATATGCTCGCAATCAATGTACATGCCCTTGACCGGAATCGAACTTGGGACCTTTCAGTCCGCAGACCGACGCTCTACCGCTGAGACAAACCGGTTTCGGCGGCACCTTGCTTTTTATGTGTAAGATTTCGAAAACAAAAATAAAAGAACAAAAGGAACTTTTTTTCTTAAGAAGAGATGTTACCTGATGTGTTCTATGGATTTTGGATTGTGGTGTCCCACAAAAATAAAAAAAAATAATCCAAGGTTCTTTTTCACAGTTGTCAGCCAGGATGTCAATTGTATTGAACCATCTGGAATCTGGCAGGAGGAGTCCCATGTCCTTGTCACCACTGTAGATTCCTGGACTGAAATAATCTGCCGTGGATCAAATATATCATACCTTTCAGTGGCCTAAAATGAAAAGCAATGAAAACATTTTAACAAAATAGCCAAGTGAAATGGAACACTATACAGTAATTTGACAATTAAAGATATTAGTTGTTGGAGATTTTTTATTCTTGTCCTAAACAAGAGTCAGAATACTCAGTTTCAACTAATTCTGACATGTATTGGTTTTGTGAGCCCAGATAAGTCACCGAGGCCACTAGAGAGTATATCAGTATATTTACTGATATACTGAGAGTATATCAGTAAAAGGAGAAGAGAGAGGTAACTAACCTATATTTAGTACTTAGTATGTGGTCAGTGTTGTAAGGAAGATATTATTTTACATACATATAAGGAAAATAAAAGTTTGCCTATGATCACAACTAGGCATTATCTGACTACAAGAACTATGACTTCCAGAGTTTTCTTCCAGAACTACAGCTTCTTACACTTAAAAGACTGTAATTTTGAATAATAATCACAACCCTAGATTTTCAAAAGAATGTAGGGCTGTAATAAATCTTTTAACATTTTCTGAGAATCCCACACTGTATGTTAAAATCAAATGTTTCCAAAGGATGGAATGACTTTTTAAAAACTCATCTGAAAAATCAATGTCAAAATTCTCTGTGTCATCTACTCCCACCCACCAATGTCTATTTTATATTCTGGAATGTAAAGCTCTTTTTAATGAAAATTTAGTTGACATAGTATTATATTAGTTTTAGGTACATGATAGTGATTTGACATTTATATAGCTTACAAAGTGATCACGAAAAAGCCAGTTTCCATCTGTCACCGTACAAAGTTGCTGTGATATTATTGACTGTATTTCCCATACTGTAATTTACATCCTTGTGGCCTATTTAAGTAATAAATTTTTATTTCTTAACCTCTTTTTACCATTTTGCACAGCCCATCCCCCTCTGGCAACTATCAGTTTTCCTGTATCTATGTGTTTGTTTAGTTTTTAGATTTCACATGTAAGTTAAAGGATAGTGTTTGTCTTTTTCTGACTTATTAAACTTAGCATAATACTATCTAGTTCTATCCATGTTGTCACGAAAGGCAAAATTTAATTTTCATGGCTGAGTAATATTCCCGTGTGTGTGTGTGTGTGTGTGTGTGTGTGTGAGAGAGAGAGAAAGAGAGAGAAAGAGAGAGAGAGAGAGAGAGAGAGAGAGAGAGAGAGAGAGAGAGAACACTCACACTCCAACAGATCCATGTATATACACACCCAGGATGGAAATACACAAAACAGTTATTATTTTGTTATTGCACTATGTTCCATATGGAGTGTAAATCTACTTTTGTCTCACCCTGTACACACACACACACACACACACACACACACACACACACACACATATATATATATATATATATATATATATATATATATATATATATATATATATGTATCCATTTCTTTATCCATTCATTATTGATGAACACTTTTCTTTGGTTTTGTGTTCATGTTCATGAAGTCTCTTTTTCTGTCTCTTTACTTTAAATCTGTATGCGTCCTTTGATATGCAGCGAGTTTCACATAGACAGTGAGTCTCATACA